ACTTCGAGAAAATGAAGTATCATCAAGGATGGTTTTTCATGTCAGATGGGAAGCCAGCAAGGATCGATTATGACAAGTACATCACATATGATCCCACACATGACGATGTAAAAGCGTTCAAATTCAGAACTACTTTGGTATCGAGGTACGATGGTGACAACATCGTATGGAGCGAACTGGAGTTTGTGGAGTGCGCTGAAAAGTGGGAAGACCGAGAAGAGATTGTGGTAGATGCAGTTGAAGAGAACTCAGTGATCATCACGATCTTGGAGAGAAAGTCTCTGGGACTTGAAGAATATGGTGACTATGAAAGAACAGTCCCTAAGAAGAAAAGGAAGGAACAAGAGAAAGAAGTGGAAGCACCAGACGTGGAGATGAAGGTTCACAAAGAAGGAAGCGATACAAAGAAGAATATAGAACAAGTGGAAAAGGAAGCAGCTGAAGCAATGGAGAACCTGTTTCCGAGTGAACCGCTTGCAGAAGAAGATATGAAAGAGTGGAAGAAAATTGAAGAGCAACTGCCAAGCTTAGGAGAGAAGATGGAAGAAGCGATGATTGTGGCAGGAATCGAACTCAATCCAGAGAGTTCATTCAAGGAAATGAGAACAGCATGTGAATTCCTGAAGATAGGAGGGGCTGGAAGCAAGTCTCAAATATGGCAACGGTTGAAGCAAGCCATATCAGCAAACAAGATGAAGGAGTTGGTTGAAATCTCAAAAGGACTGGAACTAGAATTCACAAGACAACCAAAAGGAGAAAAGAGACCAGAGGTGCCGACTGAAGAAGAAAGAAAGAAGCACGAACTGACGCACCTACCAAAAGCTGATTGGTGTGAGAGTTGTCAAGCAACAAGATCAAGAGAAGACAACTTCGATGTGTCTGAAAAGAAGAATGAAGCATCGCTAGTTTCAATGGATTTCAAGTTCACTGGAACTCGAGATGAAGAGAACATAAAGGACAACAAAGATGCATTGACAATCGGACTGGTGATGGTTGATGAAGCAACAAAGTTCGTACACGTCATTCCAGTAGCGACAAAAGAAGTGACAGCATACGTTGTTGAAGAAGTCTGTAGAGTGCTTATGCTGTTAAATTCTAAAGTTATCCTGAGAACTGACACAGAAACAGCAATGATTTCGCTGAGAAAGAAGGTGCAAGGAATACGGAAGATGAAGAATCTTGATACAGAGATACAAGATGTAGCACCAGATGAACACCAAGGATTGCAGGTTGAAAGATGGGTTCAAACAGTTCGGAACTTATCCAAGACATTGGTGTATGGAGTTGAATCGCAAGCGAAAGTGAAGATTACTTCGGAGAGTACGCTGTATCCATGGGCAGCAAGACATGCAGCATTCCTGCTGAATAGGTTTGTTGTGAAGAAAGGATCAACGCCTTTTGAAGTGCTATTCGACAGAGAGTACAAAGGAACATTAGCACCATGGGGAAGCGTAGTGTTGGCAAAGCCAGTACCAAAAGTCAAGGAAAAGGGTGAAGCATGGAGAAAAGGAATCTTCGTTGGAAAAGACTCGGTGAACAACCTGAATCCGATAAGCACAAGACAAGGAATCATCAAGAGCAGAACAATAAGACAGTGTACGCCACTGTATGATGTTGAAGTGCTAGCAGAAGCAACAGGAACAGCGTGGAACTACACACAAGACACGTTGTTAGGAAGAAAAGCAACGAAGAGATTGCCACCGCACAGTGGAATCGAGATGGCAATTGGTGACAAGCCAGAGTTTGTTCCAAGGAAGGAAAGAAGCCAAGAACAAGAAGATGAACTGAAAGATTGCAGCCCAAGCCAAGAAGCGGCATCAGATCCGCCAAGCGAGACTGAACAAGACATGGACGAAGATCCAGGGGAAGGACATGTTGGATCAGCAAGCAGCAGTTCAAGCAGTCGTGGAAAAGGAGTCACGAGAAGAAGAAGCGAAAGAAGTGATGAATCTGATGAACTGATTACAGGAGAGAATCCACCGCCAGCATCGCCAAAGAGGAACCTGGAAAGAGGCGAGCAGCCAGAAGCGGTGAGGCAGAAAGTGGATGAAGGACCGACGGAAGCTGAAGAGAGACCAGAGAAGTTTGTTGCCGTTGGAGATGCATCAAGTTCAGTGAGAAGAGTGATCGATATGAGAAGCGTGAAGAAGATAGAACCATTCCTAAGAAAGGAACTTCCGCAGTATCACGATGATGAAGAAGTCGAGTTGGAAGAATTTGAAGAAATGGAAGCTGAGTTTGATGAAGAAGAAGAATGGCAAGAGTCAGATGGTGAAGAAGAGATACCAGAAGACATGCCAAAATGGTCGAATGATTTCGAAAGCGGACCACCAAAGTTAGCTGATGAAGAAATGGAGAAAGTTGAAGGAGTGTCCAAGAAGCACGAGTTGGAAAGACTTGAGAAGATGAAAGTGCTGAACAAGTTGCCAGAAGGAACAGACATTTCAAAGTACAAGTTTCTGTCGACAAAGATAGTGTATGACTGGAGGCACAGGGACAAAGAGTGGAGAAGAAGAGGACGATTGGTAGCAAGAGAGTTCAAGTGGTTAGGTGATACAGATATTGCAAGTTTGTTTTCGCCAACCGGTGTAGCAAGCACAGTGAAGCTACTATCAGCCCTGTTCGCGTCTTCAGAAGGATATACACTTGGAAGTATCGATGTTGGAGATGCTTACCTAATGGTGGAGCAAGAAGAACCAACAGTGGTTGAAGTCGATGGAGAATACTATGAACTGGGATTCACGTTGCCCGGTCAACGAATCGGAAGTGCAGCTTGGTTCGGGAAGTTGAAAAGTTACCTGGAGGAGTACGGGTTAACAAGTGATAGTGGACTTCCGGCACTATTCTCAAGAACACCAGACAAAAGAGGATTCGGAATAATCGTGCTGAGTCATGTAGATGACATGGAATTGTACGCATCAAAAGAAGAATTCAAGAAGTTGGTAGAATTCCTAAGAAGCAAAGGATTGAAGATTAAAGTGGAAGGACCACTGGATGAGAAGGAAGGATCAATGAGTTTCCTGAAGAGAAGTTTCAAGTCGATGGGCGATGGAAACGTAGAGATCACGATGAACTCAAAGTACATTGAAGGACTGGTAGAAGTGCTCAAGTTGGAAGGAGCATATCCGAAGAAGCTACCGTGTCCAGCAGACAATGGAAGATCATTTCAGACAAAAGAAGGTGGAATGGAACCGCTGAATACAGAAGATCACCACACGTTCAGAAAAGGAGTAGGGATCCTACTGTATCTCGTGCCCGAGAGGCCAGATATCATGTATGTCTTGAAGAAGCTGTCAACAAAGCTCGCATCACCTGTTGAAGCAGACATGGAGCTGCTAAGGTATGTTGGAAAGTACCTTAAGGGATCACCAGAACTAGCGTTGGTACATCAAGGAAGTTACCCTGGAAAGAGTTTCCTCGAACTGAAGAACAGAAGCAATGAAGGAAACGTCGAGAGGGACAACTACAAAGTTCCCGCGCTCATAGAAGTGATAAGCGACAGTGATTGGGCAGCAGATCGAGAGTCAAGGCAAAGTGTTTCATGCGGAGTGATCATGGTGAATGGAAACCTGGTTCATTTCCAAAGCAAGAGGCAAAAGAGCGTAGCATTGTCATCTTGCGAAGCCGAGACAATCGCAGCGACATCAATCTTAAGCGAAGGTGTATTCCTGAAAGGGTTACTGACAAGAATCCTAGGAATTGAGCCAAGACTGATGTTATACAGTGATTCGTCAAGCTCAAGACAGTTGATTTCAAGAAGAGGCTTAGGAAGAGCACGCCATTTACAAGTGGACCTCTTATGGATCCAAAGAATCCCGAAGCTTATCATAAAGGCGATAGCAGGTAAGGACAATCCCTCAGACCTAGGGACCAAATCCCTGACACGAGAGAAGATACGCAAGTATATGCTAAGCTTAGGATACACAGGTGAATTTTTGACACCAAGTGATCAAGAAGTTCAAGAAGCTGAAGTGAGAAGGACAAGAACAAGAAGTGTTCCAAGATTCGATGAAAGGATGATTACAAGGATTATCCAGACGGTTACGGCCGCAGTGTTGTTATCGTTGGCTGAAGCAAGAAGATTCGGCGAAGAAGGTGAACAAGGACTGGGAAGAGCAAGTGTAGTTTGCATACTGTTGTGCATGTTCATATCAGCGATTATGCATAAAGTTGCAAGCGCAGCCGTTTTGCTCAAGAAAGAAGTCCTGAAGGAAGAAGAAAAAGAAGAAGATAGGACAAGAGCAATGGCAGACGATGATGCAGTCAAATATATGATCATGGAGTGCAGCAGAAGTATCGAGGCAACCACACACTCCGAAAAAGTGCTCAAGAAAGATAGGTCACAGAGACCAAATGCTGATGACCTCTGGAAGGAGGTAGAAGCTCTCAACCAGCAGTATGAAGTCAAGAGTACTGACAGAAAGAGAGAAGAGCAACCAAGAAAGCAAGAAGAAGATGAAGCAGCGTCGGATCCAGAGTTCAGCAGAAAAGGACGATGAAGAAGAAGCTCAGGAAGAAAAGAAGGAAGAAGAAAAGGAAGAAGATTTGGAAACGTTCAAGAAAACTGCAGAAGAATTGGCAGAAGAAGCGGAGAGAGATTGAAGAAGTCGAAAGAGGCTAACTTCGCAGCGTTGGAGCAAAGAACTGTTCGAATACCTGAGGACATCCAAGAAGGGATAAGAAAGCCAGGAGAGATCATGGATGAAAAGCTACAGCAGCTGGAAGAGATGAAGGCAGCAGCCAAGGAAAGAAGAGCAGAAGTAAGAGCAGAAGCGGATAGAGTTGCGGAGAAGGCAGAAGAAGAGAAGCCAATGGAAGAAGAGAAGCCAAAAGAAGAAGAGAAGCAAGAAGAAGAGAAGCCAAAAGAAGAAGAGAAGCAAGAAAAAGGAAAAGCAAGAAGAAGAATTGTGAACAAAAGGATTTCAGGAGCTTATGTGGGCACCGTAAGCTCACGAGCGGTTCAAGCTTCACAGGTCCCTCCCTCTTCTATCTTTGAAGCCATGTCGGGCCAGGGAGACCAGTTGGACAAAATGTCCACTTTGCTGGCAGAAGTGGCTGCTCAGCTAGAACAAGTGAAGCTGCAAGGATCACGGCGTGAAGAGCAACATCACGACCTTACTGAACGCATGAGTCAGTTGGAAGCACGCATGGATGCCCCACAGTCTTCGGCCGCTGTGCTAATTCCGACTCAGCTGCAGCCACAATCCTTCACAGTTCCGCTAGCCCAGGGGGTAGACCTCAACGCCCCGGCTACAGTCGGGCAGTGCATGGAGTTAGTGCAGATGGCGATGCAACAGAAGGTCGCCCCAGCTCTCGGAGCAGTTTACTCCTCCCTGTCCACCTCACAGGTGAGGACAACCGAGCGAGTGGGCAACCTGGAGCAGCAGGTCCGGGCCCTCCGCATCCGTACTGCATGGGCTGAGAAGGACATGCTCTTCTCACAGATCGAGCAGGCAAAGCGCACCATCGTATGCCGCAATTTCCCCACCTGGCAGACGGAGGCGGACCGCCGTCTCACAGTGGAAAAAGCCCTTGCGAAAGCTGGGCTATGGAACATTGATGGCATGTGGGATCTGGCCACGACCCGGCTGGACACTGGTACGCCAGGCAAGCCGGAGCTCTCTGCCACGTCCATCCTCACAGTCCCTTCCCTCACGGTCCGGAAGCGGATCCTGGAGGTAGCGGACAGGGTGTATGGTACTTCCACCAGGAGAAGCCTGGGACAACGGAGGAACCCAAAAAGCCCGAAGAGGCAAACGAAGGTTCTGAAGGAACGGCTGAGAAGACCCCGGCGGCATCCTCACAGGCAGCCGGGTCCAAGGAGACAGCCCAGACCTATGAGTATAAGGGCGGCGGTCCTGTAAAGCTCTCCCCTGGAGTCACACAGTTTGAACGCCGGCTCGCTTCGCCGCTCCAGGGACTCATGAACGCTTACAGGGCGGCCTTCAGCAAGTTCACCAAAGAGCCGCTGGTGCCGAGGTGGAAGACGCTGGCACTTGTTGACTCCAAAGAGGCTTGGCTGGGCCGTATCGTGTACCGCCGTCGACCTCCACAGGCACCCTCACAGACTGGGAGTGCGAGATCCACATCCCGGAGGAACATGCCAGCAAGCTCTTGGAGACCTGGCGCAGCATCTGGTATGACCAATTGCGACAGCACGTCAACCAGACGACTGTCGAGCAGGAAGCTTTCGACAGTGCAGCTCGCCTCACAGCACACAACTATGCAGAGGCCAAGAGACTTAGCAGGTTCCTGACCAAGGCCATCCCGGAGTACAACGAGGGCGAAGATGAAGGCCTAGACCACTGGATCGCCAGGTTCCGGTATGAGTTCCCCTGGCCGGTGAAGTTTGTCCAAGTCCCCCCGGACGCCGAGGAGAGGACGCACTTCACAGGCCTCCGGTCCACCGAGGAGCTCATGGAAGAAATGGCAGCCCAGGAGCAGGAGGCAGCCTTCACAGTGAACTCCGAGAGTGGAGGCGTGGGGGCACAGTGACCTCCCAGATGAAGCGCACTCACAGTGACGCAGCCTCCGCCGTCAGTGGAATCAGCACGGCTAGCGTCCCGAGTTCGGGGCTTCCGCCTCCACAGCCCACCAAGGCCCGACCGAGCTACTACCCGTTTGGCTCACAGACGGAGCTAGAGGAAGCGGTCGAGGCAGCCAAGATCGCCCACATCAACCATGGTGGGGTCCCGGGCGACTACTCACAGGAGGCCTGGGAGGCATGGTGCATCAAGCGCCGAGCGGCCGGCTCACAGTCGCAGTGATGGTCTGGCAAGCGCGCCCTCTCTTCCTTGCAATCTTCCGCAGCAGCTGTGCGACCGCATTTTTCACAGGCTGCTGCCTCTTGTACTATAGCTGACCCAGACCGTACCACACAGCTGGGCAAAAACAAGTTGAACCGTTCTGGCACGCCACCTAAAGGCGAGCTGGGTGCGCTGAGCCACTATTATAACTCTAGTCCATCTACACCTCACAGTTTCGCTTTTCCAGGTTGCTCTGAGAGTTGTTCTAGTGTGCCTTTCGGCGACGAAGTGCCCCACAGACCCCACACCACTTCCCGGACGCCCCCCCCCTCACAGACCCGAGCACAATACCACCGCCACCTCAGGTCACAAACAGCACGGCAGCGGCGAGCACGCCGCCGCATCACCACCAGATCTCGCAGCAGGCGGGAATACAGAGCTTGGAGGCATGCTCTATCCACCTCTCCAACCCCTAGTTGTGGTTTGGGCTCCAGAGCTAGGATCAACAACCAAAAGCGTTTATACGGCCCCACGCCGACTGCCCCAACCCCGGGCGGCTTACAGCCTGTTTCGACCAGGGCTTCCCTTAAGGGCCGAAGCCCTCAGTTTCGCTCTTGCAGACGTTTCCACCGCGTTTTGGCAAAAGCCCCAGATATGAGAGTGAAGAGACACCCCCCACAGAACCGATCCACCCCCAACCATTTGAGGCTTCGAACACCGGAGCCCACCACCCCACCAACTGGCCATTTTGGCCCACCTGCCTCACCAACGGAAGGCTCCTCCACCACAGCCCCTCTCACAGCGGACACTCTCCCCCCCTCCTTCCCTTCCCCGCCCAACCCCACCCCCCCTTCACAGCTTCAGGTGAGCAGTGGCCGAGACTCCTGGACCGAGGCCCACGATACCCAAAACAAGCAGCACACCCGTGCACACTGGTTGAAGACCCACTGCCGCAGCCCCCAAGAACACGGCAGACAGCAGCTTCACACCTTGATCAAGATCATGCAGACGCACGGTCTTGACTGGCTGGCCCTCACAGAGACCCACGTGAAGCAACAGGATCGCTTCATGATAGATGGGTACACCATCACACATAGCGCAGATGACAAGCTGGATGCCAAGGGCAATCCGGTACAGACTTTCACAGGGGTGTCCCTGATTACCTCCCCGCGGCTCACACCTTGCATTCTGGACATCGTGGCCACCGACGGTCGCTTCCTTTCTTTTAAGATCGACACAGCCGAAGCCCCACTCACAGTTCAGGTGGTGTACGCTCCTCACAATCAACGTGAGCAGCCGGTTCGCGATGCCTTCTGGCAGTCACTCGGGGACATCCTTCACAGCCACCCCGTTTCTCGGAGTTCATCTCCATCCAGAGCCAGCTGTTCGCCTTCAAGTGGAAGGAGTTTGTGTGGATGGTACGTATCCGAGCAGCGGTGCGTGCGGAGATGGGCGACAAGGCCAAATCAAGGCGCAACCCGAGGTGGCTCATGGGTCTCTTCGGCAAGCAACTGGCCTCTCTCTGGGGCCATCTGGGAGCAGCGAGGCAGCTCTCGAACGACATGAAGGGCGACGAGCCCCAGCGAACCCCTTATAGTGGTGGGCGACTTCAACGCACAACTGCTTGACGAACTCTCGGCCAATCGAGGCAGTGTCGGGCCCCACGCCCACTTTGGAGCGAACGTGGCAGACGAGACCTTAGCCTCACAGGCTGGCGAGGATGACTCTTTGTCCAATCACCTGTTCGAGATGTCGGTCAGCCACGACCTGTGTTTTCCACAGACGTGGATGGACAAAACCGAGAAACACCGGATGACACACCAGCGCCCGAACGGTGACCTGGTCCAGCTGGACCATGCCATCACTAAGTTCGCCTGGAAGAATATGGTCACTGATGTGCACACCCTCCCGAACGCCGCTCTCAACAGCAACCACTTTCTCACTAGAGTCACACTCTCCTTACACACAGCCTGCCACAAGCGAGCAGCACCCACACCCAAGCCGACCAGACGCCCTGACGCGCAGTCCATTCTTTCTTTCAACACACACTTCACAGAAACCCTTCAGCATAAGCCAGCCTTCGAGGAGCCTACCCCACACGAGGCCGATGTGGAGAACGTCTCCCCCCAGCCTTCACAGTCGAACACCGACCAGCAGAGGCTGGACCAGCAATGGCAATCGATCAAAGATTCCATTTTGCAGTCCATGGAGAAGCATATCCCCGCACAGGACAGCAAACCCAAGCATCCCTGGATTAGCCAGCAGACGTGGGAGCTCATAGAACAACGAACGGCCGCTCGCCAGAGCCAGGATCTGGACACTGAGCGCGAACTGCACAAGACCATCCGCTCACAGGCCCGCAGGGACAAGCAGCAATGGCTCAAGGATCGCCTTCAGGAGAGCGAAGAGACCATGGACGCGCGGGACAAGTGGCGCTGGATCAAGCGCATCCGCTCGGACTACAGGCCCCGTACAGTCACTCTACACGACTCCAACGGCAAGCCTACCAGCTACAGCAAACAGGCCGACACCTTTGCCAAACACCTGTCGGAAGTTCAGTGGGCCCCGCCACCAACAGACTACACAGGACCCACCACCCAACTGACGGACGACAGCCCAGTCAACATGGAACCCATCACGATGGATGAGCTTAGCGCTACTCTCAAAGGCATGGCTTCACACAAAGCCCCAGGCCCGGACCAAATTCCGGCAGAGGCCTTACAGTGGCTCACACCAGCCAACCGGCAACCGTTACTAGACCTCTTCAACGACGCATTGCTCACAGGACTGGTGCCGGAAGAATGGTCAACGGCAGTAGTGGCTGAGATCCACAAACGAGGCACTATGGCGGACCCCAACAACTACCGCCCCATCGCACTCCTTAGCACCTCTTATAAGCTCTTCGCCAGGCTCCTCCAGAAACGCCTGGAACAGGCGATAGACCACAAGCTGCGATCCACACAGTATGGGTTCAGAGCCACCAGATCGACCTCACAGGCGATTCATGTGGCCAGGAGGCTGTTGGAGCGAGCCGAACGCTGCGGTTCAACTTTGTACGTGCAGCTTCTTGACTGGAGCCAGGCATTTGACAAAGTCCACCCGCAAGCAGTTACGGTGGCACTCGAACGGCACGGAGTGACGCCGTCGTTTGTCAATCTGATTGGCTCGATTTACAACAACCCCTCCTTCACAGTCAAGGCAGCAGGGCAACAGAGCCAACAGTCTCTCGCAAGCTCGGGCATTCGCCAAGGCTGTCCGCTCTCTCCCTATCTCTTCCTGGTAGTTCACAGTATGATCATGGCCGATGTCGACGCGGAGCTGCAGCAGCACGGCCAGATGCTTCCGTGGCTTTTCAGCCAGAACCAACCATTCTACGACCTCGCTTACGCAGACGACATGGCCATCTTCACAGGTACTGCGGAAAGGGGCCAGCAAATTCTGCACAAGATTCAGGAAGTTGCCGCTCACAGCAACCTCTCGTTGAATCTTAAAAAGTGCGAATTGCTTCGCTCACAGTTGGCCGTCAATCACATTCACTTCCTCACAGGTGAGCTAATGAAGGAAGTCACACAGGCCAAGTACCTCGGCGTTGTCCTCAGCCAGGACTCGTCCAGCAAGGCGGACATCACAGCCAGATTGGGAAAGGCGCGGAAGCACTTCAACACCCTGCACGCCTTTTGGCGACACACAGGCCTGAGCGTAGCGTGGAAGCTGCGCATCTACAACGCGGTCTTCATCCCCATGATTGCTTATGGCATGGAGTCCGCTGCGCTCACTACAGCAGACCTCCACAGGCTTGAGGCCTTCCACTCACAGTCACTCCGCAAGATCCAACGGATCAAAGCCACCTACTACACCAAGATCCTCACAGACAACCCCCTCGCACAGACCATCCGAAACGAAGGAGTCCGAGCCCTTGCCGACCAGCCCCCACTCACCCACCACATTCACAGGGCACAACTTAAGTTGTTTGGTCATGTTTTGAGAGCAACTCCGAGCAACCTGGAGCGAAACTGTGTTTTTACGAAGGCGTTTGTATATAGAGGGGGTACAGTACAGGCAGGCATACGGCCGGGACGTCGTAGACTGCACTGGGCTGAGCAGTGTGCCGAGCTAGCATGGCACTGGCTCTCGCATACTCCACATGCCATGACCTCTCAAGCCCCTAGTTTTCCTTTTGCCTTCCTTTTGCTTCACAGGCTGGCTGTTAACCGTCCGGCTTGGCTTCAGTTAGTGGGGCTGCCAACGTGCAAGAAGCTCCTCAGGTCTAGCGCGTTCTTTTCCTACTCACAGTGAGTACGCTGACTTGTGTCTGCTTTGCATAGGGCCGCCCAAAAAAAATGTGGGCACCGTTGTACGGATATTGTGCATTCATGGAATAACCGCAACCGCAGGCATTTCGGCCCACAGCGAAGTGAATCAAGAAGCTGGAGGCACAAGAAGAAGGATGGAGGAAGTGATGGACGTCCTGATGATCACGTTAAGTGTTATGGGAGTAATCTTCCTCATCCAGCAAGTGATGAAAGGGTATAAGATTCTGTACAACAAGCTGAAAGTCCGGAGGACTGGTGGGCCAGTCTACGTATACCCAACAAGACATGTATATCATAAACGGCTTTGCAAGTGGTGGAGCCCGCCGCCGGCTACACAAGAAATGTCTATCGAGACTGCAAGAGATAAAGGATGCAGGTCATGCTGGGTATGTCACCCAGAGGACAGAGAAAGCCGCGGTGAAAGACCTTCAAGCTCGTCAAGACAGCAGAATACAGAAGTATGTACCGCAACATGCGACTGGTGCGGCGAAAGTCGTTGCGCCCGCAACAAAAGAAATCACACAACCCATAGTTGTGTGGAATGTATCCGCGATCACGCGGAGGCCACCTGGCGAGAGTGGTATGATGTTGACGAAATCGCAGAAGATGCTCAGCAACCAGAAGACGAAGTGACCATTAGCAACAACAGACCAGAAGAACTTACGGAAGAAGAATGGGACCAAATGACCTTTGCTGAAAGAAGAAATACGCTAGAAGTCATGGGTCAACGTGAGCTGGATGGAACAGCACGTTTAATGTTCGAAGCGTTCGTTGCTGGATCCCAGCAGAGAGCTGAAGAGCTAACTCCAGCATTGGTTCGAGACCTACAGGAAGAGCAAGGAGAAGAAGGATCAAGGTCTTGATACACTGATCGAAGAAAGGTCACGACTTCGTCACCGAGAGCACACAAGTGATGGATTAAGGTTCAGATCACACAGCAACAATAGCGACGAGGAAAGATCGAGACTCCGACGTCGAGTCCAAGCTGTAAGTGCTACAATGTCTCCAGGAACACCAGACAGCACAGAAGCAAGGACCCAAGGGCCCTTGGGATTTGGAGATATGTAAGTGCGGTTTAAAACGCAAGCAAAAGGCCGTGAGGGCGGAAATCGCCCAGCACCAAGCGTGAGGGCGAAATCGCCCAAGGCAAAGATGTTTCACAACGGAAGCTTTAGGAAGAAGCTTGTGACAAGAGTGGGTAAAGCCACAGCAAAAGCCACGAGGACTACGTAAAAGTCCCACGGCACACGTCAAAGCACTACGAGCACAACGATTGTTTAAAGGTCAATGACAGAAGGCTGAAAAGCCGATGCAGGACTGATGAAAGAAGTCCAAAAGCCAAGAAGGCAAGCCAAAGTTTCCAGATTGCCGAAGAGCAAGAATGGACCTACATCGCGAAACGCGACGTGAAGAAAAAGTGAGTGCGCATTTAGAATCTGAGTGAGTCCATGCCAATCGTGTGTGGAGTGGGAATTCGCAAATCTGCTATAGGACATCTGAAGATTGAGGATGAAGACCAAAGGAAGAAAAGGATAAAGATGTTCAACAAGTGCTCAAAGAAGCGTGCGAGAAGAGAAGGACAAGCTCACAGGAGCATGCGAAAACAGTGGTAGAAGTAGGAAAAGTTTCACAAGGATCACGTTACACGACAAAGCTGTGTACGTGATGAGGGCGTAACAGATAGTTCAATTTTCCCTCATGCCCATTTACATACAGGAATCCAGTGTTTCACCGCAGGTCAAACGTAGGCTCAAGACAGCCCGACAGCGGAGCACAGAGTGAGAAAAGAATCCAAGCTCGCGCCGTGGTTATAAGAAGTATACTGGTATAAGGGTTTAAACTTTCACATTCTTTGTGCAAGTACATTGGGATAGTCAGTCCCATTATCCGGAATTCACCATAGAAAACTTCGTTGGGCGAGGTTCTTTGGGCCTCCTCTGCCCCCTGCATTTTAAATTTATCTGACGGGCAAAGCTTCGTGATGTTGCGATCCCTTGGTAACGCGGTTCCCCAAACGCACGAACACTTACTCACTTCACTCACTTCAGTCCCTTCACTCATTTCACTCACTCACAATCACACACACACACACACACAGTCACACTCACACACACTCACTCGCTCACGCATTCACTCACACACACACACACACACACACACACATACTCACTGACTCACTCACTCACGCTCACTCACTCGCGCACGTCTCACTCACTCATTCTTTTGCTCAGTCACTCAGTCACTCAGTCGCTCGGTCGCTCACAGTCACACGGTCACACAACCACAAAGCTCACACCCACCTCACACTTTTCACTCGATCATGGTCCCCTAGGAAGTACAGCCTTGCTGAATTTTCTGTCAAATGTTTCTCACTCCCCCACTCTTTCACTCACTCACTCACTCACTCACTCGCCGACTCACTGTCTCACGTGTTTTGTGTCTTGTGTGTGCGTGCGTGTGTGCACCAATGTGACACCTGGGACGTCGTATGCCAACGCACTGAAAGTTTGCTTCAGGCTCCGCTCTGAAGCGCTCGACGGCCTCCGCCAGGCCCGGGCGATCCGTGAAAGGCGAGACGCGAATCACAAAGCCCGGCAGCCACCTGCGCTCCGAAGGCCCTGTTGGAGAGCTTCAGCGGGTGTTTCAGATTGTGACGTCGTGATCTCTTCCAGGCACCATCAAGCGGCTGCAGCTTTACAACTCCAAGCCGGATCTGAAGAGAAGGAAGGAGCAGGCGCTGAAGCCCGTGCGCATCCAGCCGGACCGGCGCTGGTTTGGCAACACGCGCGTCATTGCCCAAGACAAGATGCAGCACTTCCGGGCCCCTCGGACACGATCGGATACTCCCTGTCCCAGTCCTCCACGTTGAAAGCGCGTGTCAGGAGACGATTGCCAAGGGCGTGGAAGATCCGTATTCCGTGGTCTTGAAGAGTTCCAAGCTCCCCATGTCCCTGCTCCGTGCTGGGCTGAGTCGGCTCCGGTGTCTGTCATAGTGGCGCGACGTCGTCCAGCACACTCCGAGGGGAGACCCAGGAGAAGGCCTCGCGCATGGACCTTCTGTCCGTCTCCCCTTTCCAAGAGGTGAGCTGGGCAGCTGGGTGTCTGCATGACATCTTGGACCTGACTAAATGCCGAGGTCTTCAGCAGGAAGCACCAGCAGAAGCGGGCGAAAATCGGAGCTACAGACCTGGAAGGGCTTCTGGAGGACAGATGCGTGTTGCCTGCATGCCCTTTTTCTTGCTCCCTCTGTCGATCTCGCGTCGCATTCAGGCTGCGGAGAAGCGGGCGGAAGGCTACAGCAAAGGCAGCAACGACCACCGTGCCCTCGTCGATGCTGATGGGCATGAAAAGGAGGAGGAAGCGGCTGGTGGCCACTTTGGCGAGGAGATTTTCAACAAGGGTACCTCGAGGAGAATCTGGGCCGAGCTCTACAAGGATTGACCCTTGCGGCTAGCGAGTGCACAACGGCTGGGCGAGTGGGCTGCTTGCAGGTCGTGGATGCTGCCGACGTCCTTTGCTTCGTGCTTGATGCCCGGGATCCAATGGGCACCCGGTGCAAGCAGCTGGAGAGAGACTTGCCCAAAACACGCCTTGCGCACAAGCAGGGCATGGCACGCAGGCACGCATGCACATGCGCGCAGGTGCCGACGTGTGTATATAGTGCTCAAAGGCATACATAGACATGCACACATACCTTTGCACGTCCACAAACGGCAACGGACAAACGGACTGCCGAGTGGAGTGGACGCACGCACGAAGGCGCACTGACACACTCAGTCACTCAGTCACTCAATCATTCACCTCACTTGCACCCTTAAAGCTCGCCCCGGGCCCCGTCGCGTGGGGTCTGTCCGCAGGCCCTGCCTGACTGTTTGCGGCCTTTTTTTTTTTTTTGGGGGGGGGGGGGGGGTGGTGAGGGGGAGATGGCGCAGGCTGCATGCCATGCATGCCATGCGCGCACGCATATCTGGTATGCAGTTTGACTAAGCATGGGTCACTCCATCGATCTCCTTCTCGCGCCTTCGTATGTCCACACTGCTTTTGTTCCGAAGGAGTTTGAACCGAGGAGAGCTGCGGAGGAGCCGACAGCACAAGCACATTGTCCTCCTCATCAACAAAGTGGATCTTGTGCCCACGTGGGTGACTCGCCGGTGGGTACAAGAACTCACGAGAGATTTTCCCACATTGGCTTTCCATGCATCCATCACGAATCCGTTTGGCAAGAATGCCCTTCTCAACCTCCTGCGACAATTCGGCAACCTCTTGAAGGAGACACGGGGGTCCTGTTTTTAAAGAATCGCTAAATGGGCCGGGGCCAAGACTGCTTCTGAAACGAGAGCGAAAGCCAAAGGAGAAGAAGCATGTGACCGTCGGAATGATTGGCTACCCGAACGTAGGCTGCTCGTCAGCGAGAGTCTTCGAGTCTCCCTTGAAGGATTGAAGGAACAGTCATTGCTTTGAGAGGCAAATCTTCCGTCATCAACACCTTGAAGAGGAAGAAGGTCTGCAAAGCCGCGCCGGTGCCCGGCGAAACCCGTGTGTGGCAGTACATCGCTCTGACAAAGCTTCCTGGCGAGAAGAGAGCAAGAGAGAGTAGCAGAAAAGCGCTAGTCCGCTTTATATAAAGCTATATGCATAGTTACAGCAGCAGCTATATGCTATGCTATGCTCCGCTACGCTCTTTCTTTTCTCGCTCGTTCGCTCCTTCGAGGCGGATTTATCTCCTGGACTGCCCGGGCATCGTCCCGGCGACGCAGAGCGACTTCGCGCAGGACTGCGCCAAGGCAAGGAAGGAGCGAAGGAGTCACCCCCCCCCCGCGCGGCCCCGCGCGGGAGCACTTCGCTCTTCCTTGCCCTTCGCATGTTGACGGACGCGGCAGGTCTTGAAGGGCGTGGTGCGAGCTGAGCGTCTCAAGACACCTTCGGACTACATCCACGAGGTCAAAGACACCCTTTCGCTCGGGGCGGCGGGCCCAGCACTTGATTCTGATTTGTAGGTGCTGGAGCGGGTGAAGAAGCCCTACTTGCTCCAGCGATACCGCCTGCCAGCGGAGACCACCTGGCGGGCCACACGGCGGTACAACGACATGTGCGGCTCCTTGGCTGTGCAACCTCCGAATCTGAGGACAGCGAGGAGTTCCTCAGCATCTTAGGGAAGAAGATGGGGAAGCTCGTGAAGGGTGGGGAAGCGGCCGCACACCCAGGACCCAGGCTCACGTCTGCTCGCGCCTGCTTCTATCTTTGCGTCAACCTAGGACATTGACACTGCAGCTCGCATCGTCCTCTACGATTGGCAGCGCGGCCGAATCCCCTACTTCACCGCGCCCCCGAACGAGAACGAGAAGGAAGAGGAACATGACGAGGCCAGAGAGAGAAGGCTTGTCCTATGTCTCGCTAAGTTGCCGGCCCGCGGTAGAAATTGAGAGAGCCGCCTTGAGGAAGTGGCAGCAGCCGTCGACACCGAGGGTTCAGGAGATGGGACGGCAGAAGTCCGCCGCGATCTGTCGAAACAGCGGTCGAAACAGATGTCAGGAGAGCCGAAGGAGAAGGAGTCGTCCCATCCGGCGGCCCAGTCCCTGGAGGCTTTGAAGGAGATCCCAAAGGCGCACGCTTTCGACGAGGAGGCGAGGCGGCGGCTCTGCTGGGGGACGACAAAGCCCCGAGAGCTCAGAAACATCAGCAGGACGCATACTACTTTTGACAAGTACCAGTATACTAGAGTTGCAGCCAAGTTGCGATGAAGAGTCTAATCTGTTGGCGTTTCGAGATCACCCCTTACAAGATCGTCAGTAGTCTTAGTATATTTGCTTGTGTTCAGGAGGCAAAGAGAGCAAAGTCGAGTGAGATAGTGAGCGTGTGGTCTTTCTCTCTTTTCTCTTTCCGAGGACTGTGGAGGAGACCTGGGAGAGCTTTGCGCGGAGTCGGCGCCGGCGGCAGTTTCCGCTGAGGCGCGGGCGCGCGGAAGCGGAAGTCCCGTGGACTTCGTGCCTCTGCTTGGTCGCACTGCTGGCGGTGGTAGAGTCTAGAGTACTGGTGCTGTCGCAATCTGTCGCACTACGAAACTGACAATGCGAGCACGGGTAGCCCAAAAACTCGTTCTACTACCGCTATAGTAGCTGCTGAAGCTGCTGCTGCTGCTGCTCCCATCTGAGTACTGCTACCACTGCCCCTGCCACTACTACAGCCACGCCGCCCTCCTACCAGCCCACAGCGTTCGTTTCTCTACTACTCGTGCTGCTGGTAGTACCACTACTAGTACTCCTACTCCTGCCGCTCCGGCTTCTGCTCCTATACTCCAGCTCCTGCCGCTGCAACATTAGACGCAATACCTAGCTAAAGTAGACACAACAACATGGATTACGCTGCCGATAGTTGCTTTGATGAGTATGATGTTACTGACGATGCCTCTGATGGCGATGATCTTTGATTGTGTTGATGATGCTCAGGATGTTTGGTCTCTGGTGCCAGGGCACTGGGTGGAGCTTTTCTTTCAAGATGTCGCATCGTTGGACGGCACGCAACCTGCGTTTCACGTGTGGAGAAAGTGAGGATTCTTGCCGTGATGCTACGTGCCGAGAATTCCTCGAGAATGGACTGTGCATGAGACTTTCTGTGAGATGGCTCACCAGATGCTCATGCACGGATGGTCTCGATGCGGCATGAATCAGCATGAGCTTATGTTTGTTTGCCACGAGAGGATCTGCCCCGTGAGAAGAAACGAAGAGGCGAAGCTGCCCAGGAGCTGCTCTTGGTTGCGCTTTCGAAGTTCTTCCTTGTTTGGCTCTTCGAAACTGAGAACCAGCATCGGAATACTGCCCAGAGACAGCATTTTCATTGCGAGCGGCAATGAGGCAACCTTCGACCCGCAAGCTGCTTGTGGAGCCTGGTTGTTGCTGTTGCTCAAAGTCAGGAATGCATGTAGGCTCTTTCGTGAAGGGCGTCCACTCGGACCTGCTTTCTGGGGTTGCCCGTTCGACTTTGGCTCGTTCTAGTTCGGCGCGCTGGGCTTGGCATTCGTCTGTTTTCTTGGCCCCTTCTTGGTCTTTGCCAGGATCCTGTTCTACCGTTAGTGCCACTTCCCCGTCATCCTGCCTCCCTCGCGCAAGGGGGGAGCCGAAGAGCTCTGAGAAGGCAGCTCCCTGATGTCTCCCTTTTCAGCGCCCGCTCGCTCCGGGCGGGCGCCGTAGCACTCTCAGAGTCCTGAGCCCGAGAAGTCAAGCAGCCGCTAAGTCGAAACGGCTTGCAAGTTCCCCGTGCATCCGCCAGCCGCCGCTGGCCTTCCTGGCTGCGACAATAGGACCGGATAACCCCACATCACAGTGACTCCCGTATGACAACCAAATGAGTTCACAGGAAAGTGGTCATGAATGGTCATGATGCGCGTGTTTGTGTGTGTAGGTGTGTGCCATGTTGGTGATGGTGCATGTGCGCAGTGTCGAATGTGCACGTGCGTGTGTGTTGCCAGTGTTGTGTGTCGTCTGCGTTGCGTGTATGTGTGTGTGTGTGTGTGTGTGTGTGTGTGTGTGTGCGTTGTGTGTGTGTGTGTGTGTGTGTGTGTGCGTGTGTGTTCCTATCTGTTCGCACGGGCACACGCTTGGGACCCCTTCTCCACCCCCCTTCCTCCCTCCTGCCCATCCACCCTCCTCGCTCTGGCATCTGTAGAAGCTGCTGTCACGGTCGCAACCGGCGGCAAAGCACATGGCGTGTTGTCGTCGGCTCCAGCTCTAGCTCTAGTTGTAGCTCTCTCCCTAGCTTTAGCTCCAGCTCCTGCTCCAGCTCCGGCTCTAGCTCCAGCTCTCGCTTGTCTAGCTCGAGCTGGCTATCTCTAGCTCGCTATCTCTCTCTCGGCTCTCTCTCACAGAGCACTCTAAAGAGAACCTTGAGTCGCATTTACAGTTTTCCGGATGGGGAGGACCCTGAAGCGCCCCGCCTCCAACAGAGCACTCTGGAGAGAGCCTTGTTTAGTCGCGTTTTTAGTTTTCTGGAGGTCGGGGACCCTGAAGCGCGCGCTGCATCCCACAGAGCATTCTGGAGAGAGCCTTTAGTCACGTTTACTGTTAAATTTGAGCCATCAGCTAGCTGTGCACATTGACCTCCGAGCACGTTCCTGCGGCCCTTTCCTCTCGAGGCGGGCCCCCTTGAGCAGTTTTTACCTCGACCGCTGCTTGCGGAAAACATGTGCCTTTGATCGCTTGTGAATTTCACGTCTTGCAAGTGCTAAGTCGAGTTGGCACCGGAGCCGGCTTGCACATGCCGCGGATTCCGGAAGTCTTCGAGATGTACGGGCAGGCGGACGGCCACGATGATGACCTCTCCACGCTGTCCCCTCCCGACCTTGAGAATCTGGAGTCGGCGTCGCAGGTGCAAGGACCAGGGACCCCGGCGAGAGAATCCTTGGAGGTGCGCGGCCTGTGACGGCCGGCGACTGGCCAAGGACACCGCTGGTTTTTGGAGCTGTGAGGATTGCGGATCCACCCTCTACTTCCACATGGACCACCCTACATTGAGACGCGCGGCCCACGGCCGCGGAATGTGGCACTACGTTCCCAGTGAACCTTAGGGGACACCGAGTGGCAAAGGGAACCCTCCTCCGCTCCAGGTTCCACAGTGGCAGGCTTGACAACGCCGTTTTCAGGCGCCTGCCGGCGAAGGCACCAGGCGGCGGGGATGAAGCAGCTGACAGCTCAGAGCAGCCCGAGTCGGCGCCCTCGGTGCCGTCTAGGCGTGCTACTAGACCGAGCCTTGGTCGCCTCTTGCTCCTCGACCTCGTGAGCCCCCCGGCCGACCACGTGCACCACGACAGCCCGGAGGAAACGAGCCAGCACACCTTCAAGGAGCCGATCCCGCCCAAAAAATCATCCAGCTCACCTCCTGGACTTTGAGGCCGCAGCCAAAACACCGGGCAAGAGCGACAAGGCCTCGAGCTCTTCGAGCTGGAACTCCCGAATGGGACCGGAGAAGAAGGTGAGCTGGCGGGGCGGAACACCGCCCGCACCGCCGGCATCATGGCGGTACGATCCCTCGGACCTTCGCAAATATAGCAAGTGGGCCAGGAAGGTGCAGATATGGCAGGTCCAGATAGCAAACTACATGACAAAGCGCGAGGCGGCGCTCTTGCTGTACACCTCCCCGACTGGCGAGGCGGAGGCCGAGTTGGAGCACGTGCCCATCGAGAAGATCAACTGCGAGAACGGGGTAAATTATATCCTGGAGCCCCTCAAGGAGCCGATGGCCCAAAAGACCGTGTACCAGAAGCGGAAGTTTCTTGCCGACTACGAGAACGTGAGCCGCTACCCCTCGGAAGGACTGAGAACGTATGCCAAAGCGCTCGCTTGAGGCGCTCGGGGTTCAGATCACCGGGATGTACGATGACGAGAGCCGGGGCAACCGTCTTCTTGAAAGGGCGAGGCTGAGCGCAGCCGACCAAAGGCTGGTGCTTGTCGGTGCCAGGTACTCCATCTCCTTTGAGGACGTGATGGAATCGATGACCACGCAGTACCCAGACTTCAGGGCGCCACCAGCGGTCGTGGGACGAGACGGCCAGCCGCTAACCGAGGCAAGGACGGCAAGGACGTGAGGACCAGCAGCCAAGGGCAACCGTTTTCCTTTGCAGCACGCTCTTCGATGCGCGGCCAAGGCAAGGGGACTCCCGGCCAAGGCAAGAGACTCGGCAAGCAGGTCGAGCCCGACCCGGGCGCCGACGACCACAACGAGATCTCCTTCGAGGCCATTCCCGAGGGAGAGGACGAAGACGACGGAGAACTTCAAGACTTGGCCCAAGTCCTCACGGTTACCGCCCGAAGGCTGGCGAAGCCCGGCAAAGGGCAAGCGCACCAAGCACTGACAGCGTTGTGTTTTCTGCGCAGATGGTTCCGGCACTTGGGTCACAGCATGTGGGCTGCATGGTCCTAGACACCGCTTGCCAGCGCACATGCTGTGGCAGGAGCTGGGCAAGCGACAACTTCGACCACATCAAGGAAATCGGGCTAATAGTCATAAGTTCCAGTTCGGAAAGGGAGCGCCCGTGGAAGCAGACTACCGAGCCTACCTCCCGGTAGCCTTTGGACACCACGTGCCAGTGCTGATTGGAGCAGGCGTCGTGGACGCAACGTGCTGCTCAAGGCCCTGGGGATGATACTCAACTTAAACAACATGACTGCGACGTTTGCTGCTTTAGGAACCACGGCTCATTTTGTGATGCTTGGGGGGGCACTGGGCTGTTCGCATAGACGAGTTCTCTCAGCATGCCATTCGTGAGTGCATGGAACTCTTGCAAAGCACAGCCTGGGACAGCGCACCTCCCGAAGCGGTTTTTGGCTTCGACCACCAGGCGCGGGCACACCTGCCCAAGGATGCTCACGGCGCCACCGTCCTGGCTTGCAGCATGGAGGCTCCGCGGAGCCTCCGGAACTTCAAGGTTCACCTCTACATGATCATGATCAGGTCTGCTCGCTTGGGCATATGGGATCGCCAGTGGCTACTCGGAGCCACCCCGCCAAGACTGGATCCTCGATTTCAGGTGAACAGGCGAACTGCGCCCACACCGAGATCCAGCGCTACGGGAACGCGTCGGGGAGGTAAAGGCGGTGCAAGGCGTGCGGCAAGAGATGGCTATACTCTGGAAGCACAGCCCAGGACCCCGGACCCCCTTTTCCTAGGAGACTTCGAAGAACTCCCAAGTACCATCAACGTCATCGTGGAGTTCTGTCCCGCCGAAGCTCATTGGGTCATCGGGGCCGTCGAGAGACGCAACTGTGTGCTGCGCTCGCTTCTTGAAAAACTCATCAACGACTGTGACCACGTTCTCACCGCCGCCCTGTGAAGGGACGGAGCCCCTTCCAGGAAGTGTACGGCCGAGTTCCTCGAATTGTTGGCGGCCTCCTCACTGACGAGGGTGCTCTGGCAGAATCTGTGTCACATCCCCGCCTTGCTGCAGAAAAGAGTTCGCGCCGAGGCAGTTTCACACCTCGCTGCCATGAACGTGGACCAAGGGCTCAAACGAGCCATACTGCGGAAGACCGCCAACCTCAAGATTCCGGATATCCAGCCGGGCCAGAGAGTTGCCTTTTGGCGTTGGCGGCGACGGGGTCTTCGCAAACGCGGGGCCTGCGCGACAGGCTGCTTCTTGGCCTACGACCCGTCTTATCCGGGAAAACAATGCTGGATCCGCTCCGGCACTCTACCATTTTGGTCGCCATGGAGCAGATCCGCAAGGCAGTCGGCTGGGAAGACTGGTGCCCAGACGAGGCAGACACACAATGCCTCAAAGATGCCACCGTCGACTTCAAGAACAGACGAGCACACCTGTGCCACAACTGGTGGCGCTGAAAGAGAGTGCGAGCGAACAACTACAACCACCCCGGCAACAAACAACAACTACAACCTCACCCTGAGCCGGACCTACCAACAGACAACCTACGTCCAGCAACGTTTCGGTGACCCCCCGCGCTCGGTGAACGTAGCTCCAAGAACACCAAGGACACCGAGACACACAAGAAGAAGAAGGACAGGAGTCAGACCAACAACAACTACAGCAGATTCCTGATCT